ACCAACCAAATGGAAATACCAAGAAAGAGGTGCAGGGGTTTAAAGCAGTCAGGAATGAACATACCTGGGGTAGTAACGCACAAGGGTGCCTCACCAAAAAGTGTACTTTCCTCCTCCTATCACAAGATGTGTTGCAGCTGCTCTGGAACACATGACTTTATGTACTAAGGATTTGCAGAAAGCAGGAAAAAAATAGAAAAAGAGCTGGGAGCTAACTTGCAAGAGAACCAGACACTTCTAAAAGATTAAAACTTTCCACGATACAGTCTTAAAAACCTCTCACAATTAAGTTTCTACAATCAGTTGCCTATCTAAGGGCACATGTATACAAAAAGCAAACCAAACCCAAAAAGCAGGTGGCAAAGCCAATTAGATTGGCATTATTAGATAAAAGCTGAACAAATCCAGTGGCAAAAATCTTGAACACAATACGTAATTCCACATCAACAAGAACACAGCACAAATGGAAAATGTTCAGAGGTAATCAAAAGGATGATAAAGATATCGCAAGCTTCCTTCTTAGAAGCAACTAAGACAACTAAGCTAGAGGGAAGCAAAACAGAGTGGACATACGACACAAGTCTGAAAAATCACGAATCACATGGAATGGGGGAATATGGTTTGATGTTTGCTGTGTCATGTCAGAAACAGGATTTATCCAAAGAAACTAGATGGTGGTAAGCTGAGAACAAACAGATAAAGGTAGTTTGTAACACCATATAATTAAACTGCTGAATTTCTGATAGACATTTATATGGCTATAGAAAGCAATTGGATACATTCATGTAAGAAAGAGCCAGCAAGAGGAATTAAATATGATAGCACCGTCTCTGTGATGCTCTAACTCCTCACTTGGACCTCCCCCATTACGTTACTTTAAGAGCAAAGTCCCCACGCCACACAGTGAAGGAAGCAGGGAGGGCAAAACAAGCAGCTACAAGTGCTGCTTCTCCTGTTCTTCCCTCCTCCCACACGCTTGCTGGCAGCCATCAGCAAGAGGTGACATCTGACCCAGTCCAGCCATCCTGATGGCCTGTTTGTCAACCCACCACGGGTGTGATCGCACACCAACGATGGCACTGAAGTGGACTTCTACAATCTGATCATGAAACATGGTGCAGACACAAGAGACTATGAATAACTGCCTTGCAACAGCACCTCACCACCAATATTCCTTTAACTTGCCTTAACATGAGCAAGTCTCAAAGATAAAAAAATACCATTCTAATTACTTCTATAATTTTACTGTATAAACCTTTAAAATCAAAAGCAACTAAACAATTTCTAGTTATTTGGTAAAAACTTACAGGCAACAACTACTAACTTAATCTACTAGCAAATTAATATACTGAGCAACATTAAAATAATTACTACAAGCGGGTATTAAGATTCAGGAAGAACAATTCTTTTCTCACACTTAATCAGATGTTCCATTAGGTACACAGTCTCCTGCAAAGCATCCTGTGTGAGCAGCAGTGAGGACCTTTTCACCTGATCTTGCCTAAACCACAGTGCCGCCCTGCTTACAGTACAGACACTGGACTGGTTCATTATTCACTCATGTACTGCACCTCTCTGAACACTGCTTTGCCATTCAAATCACGAAAACACACACTGCATTACATTCCAGTTACGCTGTACAATTTTTTTGAATGCTTAAGCTGATGTCTCAAAAATGCTACAGACCCTGTTGTGGAAGAGAGGCTACAATCGATTCCCAGAAGACGACACACCTTCCAGTTTAACAACTTTAACTTCATTTATCCCTAAAGTACACAAGCTAATTTCCTACTAGCCAGGCAAGGCACTTTAACAGACTCACTCGTAGACTACCTAATATTTCTCTATTTTTCCTCTTTGATATGCTTATAAAACAAGCTATGCAAACAAACAAAGGAAAAAAAAGTGAAACTATTACACAGACCCACTCTTCAACTAACTCCGCAAAAACTCTTGATCAGAGAGCTACAGCAGGAGAATGGAACTGCAGAAAGAAAAAGAAAACATTTTAACTCCATCTTAAACCTGTATCATGTGTTTTAGAATGCAATTATACCAAATTCTATAAAGTTATTTGCTTTTCCCTACTGCAGTATCAGTGTTGCCATTTACAACTAAGGTTTTTACTTGCTTTAAATGATGTTTGTTGCATTTCCTAATACATCACCCTTCTCATGGCACACACTTCCATGAGAATACAGGCTTTTGTTCCAAAGCTAAAAAGACACATCTCTATTCCTCTGGGCACCAGAGGAAACTTTAAAAATAAACTCTACACGTTACAAGTTGATTCCAATATAAATTCCAATTTTTTAATTTTTTATTTTTTTTTTTTTAAAAAACAAAGACCTCCTCATTTTGTAAACTGACTCATATTATTGCCATGTCTGCAACTCCCTCTCCTAACCTCCACTGCACAGAAATACAAATTAGACAGGACGGCATTTAGCTACTTTGGAATTTCAATTTTTGTAAGCTACTCCCTCTAAGCGACCATGTTTTAGGAATCAAAAGCTTAATACAACTATTTGCAGTTTGCGAAGACTGCTAAAGCCAGTAACTGCTTGTGCTAATATAATTTAATTCCAAAAGAACTCCTTAAAAACTCCACCCATTAAAGCAGCATAATAAACATTCAGCCACTCAAGTTTAACTCTGTTCCTGAGAGCAAAAGCAATTTCACACAACTATTAAGGATGAGATATTAGGAATACCATACTCAAACCGTACTTGCAAGGGAGTGCAAGTCAGCCTTAACATGATTAAATGAGTTGGAATTTGGCCAGAAACTTGGATTATGACAAATCCAAAAGCCAGTCTATCCAACAGTACAATGTGTACTCGTTTATACACTTTTCTACTGCACCATTTGATGACAGAAACAAACAAACAAAAAAATGTGTTTAGGCCGGTGCTTAACTTTAAACAGGAAGAGTTTCATTTAAGTCATTTAAAATAAGTCACTTCCCAACTCCCCCCGCTTCCCCTCCCCCCGCCCCCAACTGATGCTCACAAAAAAATATTTTGTCAGAGCTACTCTGTGGCTGTACAGAGCAGTGAATTTCATGATGAAATCATTCAAAATAACACCTTGGAATGATACGGAGGTGGAAATAATAATTCTGTAGTGACTCACACTTTCAACTGGTGTATAGATAACCTGGGGCAACTTACTACAAATGTCCCAAAAGCCATCAAACACTGATTTCAAAGACAGTACAGACAAGGGAAATGATGCAAACATGGGATAAATATAAGTCAGTTGAGAAAAAACAAACTCAGTCAGCACCATTTTAAGTGTACTTCAGAGTTTCACAAATAAAGAATGAACCACACTGCAAAAATTTACTGCATAGAAGTTGTTTTCTATAACTGCTCATGCACGTGTCCCACGGTAAAGGCAAGATATGTTACATTGAGAAAAGCAATCTTGTACTGCCTTGCATTTTCTGTGGAATGTCTCAGAGAAGAACATGCAGTCACTTCCTTGTGAGTCAAAGACCTTGGATTAATATCAACTGCAACATAACGAGTAAGAAGCCAAGTGGTAAGCAGAAGTTTTGTGAGCATAAAAATGTAACTGTAGTTCAAATACCAAGCAATCTTAGCAATGTATTTTAAGGTATTTATGCCTCAAGTAAAATCTATATTATTTTGTTTCATAAAGAGTGTCAGTTGTTATTTACTCTTTCAGTTGAACCTCTTCCATAATATTTCAGCCTCATAAGCTTAAGATACCTCACTTGTGAGCATAAAAATGTAACTGTAGTTCAAATACCAAGCAATCTTAGCAATGTATTTTAAGGTATTTATGCCTCAAGTAAAATCTATATTATTTTGTTTCATAAAGAGTGTCAGTTGTTATTTACTCTTTCAGTTGAACCTCTTCATAATATTTCAGCCTCTTAAGCTTAAGGTACCTCACTGGATCTATCACGTATCAATCAGTACCGCTTAATTAACAACAGTCCCATACAAAGTAGTGACAGAAACTATTTTCTAAGAGTAACTTGTTTATTCTGTTGATCACTTTGAAAGTTAACATGTTTTATCAACTTAGACAACATGATAGTAGTAGCTTCCTACATTAGTATGTGTGTGTAAATTCCTATTTGTTGTCATATAATCTGAATGCTAAGAAAAAAAATACAGAATAGCATTGTTTTAAACTCAAAATTGCCCTTAAAAACAGCAAGCCAAATTTATAACTGTGATGTACAGTTTGCAAAGAAAGTAATCTTAAGAATAGCAGATTGTTCCTTTGGTGTCTGTAAAAGGCTTTTAGAAATCCTCATTGATCAAAACGTCATTTACCAAAGATTATTTCATTTTTATAAATATGTAATCATGAACAATAATAAAAACATTGCTTTTCTCATCCACACACTAAAAAGGTTACTCTGCATAAGTTTAAAGACACTTACAAATTCCAAAATTATGTAACAGCTACATATTCAATAAGAGTAAATGAATAAAGATGGCATTAGAAGTTTTCCAATACAGAAGTCAATCATTCTTACCTACTGGAAATTCTATGGATATTTTCCTTTAAAGTAAAGGAAGACTACAACACATGCTATAGTAGTGGGTTCTGCACACAGGTAAAGGTCTGACTATCTGACAAATATATAATTACTAGTAGTCTTCCAAAAGGTGTCATAAATGTTACAAAACTTACAGCAGTTTCATTTCAAATACTTGCAACAAAACCAAGATGTTATTCCACACATACTAAATCATTACATAAGCAAAATTACCTATATATTTATTTAGTATTTCACACAGGTTAGAACAATTTTCTACAGACACAAATATAATTAGATTTTCCTACTTAGAAGTTATATTCCCTCAAGGAGCATGCTAAGATTAAAATATTCCAAAATCAATAATCACATTAAACCAGGGAGAACTATTTACATTTTACTAATTCTATCATCATAAACAAAATGCTTAAATATATCCTTGTTGAGGTATCTGTCAAATTCCCAATTTATGCCTACCTGGCAAAAGTACAGGTTCCAGTTTTTTAATCCTTGGTTCTGACGCTATATGGTCTTCAGCCTGAAGAAAAAAAAAAAAAAAAAAAGAGAATTTACTTAAGAATCAGAACTTTATAGACAGACACAAGCCCGATCTATTCAGGCAAAGCAGAAAGTTCTTTTAACTTAAAAAGCTGATCTTAAAAAGCTAGGGTCCAATCATAGCAACAGTTTTTAGTAAAGACATTAACATTTTTGTGTACATTTAGCTTTGTACCAGGAGAATAATATAATATTTAAAGTGCTAATGTTTAACTAATTGTGTAACCTGGGCTATAACAAGTCACAGGAAGAACAAAAAACAATTTGGCTTGACATTCCATAAAGGCTCAAGTCCTACAACAAGCTTTACACAGACATGGACACTCAAGCTTGAACAAAACTCTCTACCAACTTTTAACATGCATGACTTTCCGACATACGAAAATTCCCCAAAAAACCCAAGGCCTAGAACACATACAAGCCTACTCACATTTTATTCCAAACCTTAAAAAAATTTCAAACCTTCTATAAAAAGACTGGAACCTTCAGTGAAATAACCTTAATGCCTACGGTCCCTGCACTGACAGTTGCATTGCCATTTCCCAGGACTAGGAATATCCAGAACTACGTTGCATCGACATTTCACTTTTACGAAGAAATGGTGAAAACGCAAAAGTGAGCCAACATGTCAAATGTGTTACTAGAAGAGGTCCTGCCTTGTCTAAAATAAATAAGAATCACATTCTGTCAAGTGCTCACCCAGACCACACAAAAAATTCCGGTGGTTCTACTTGATAGTAGATATAGTACATACAGTATGCTTGATATTATATGCACCACAAATAGTAGTCTACTATATATACTTGATATATATACACTTCATTCTCTTATTTTCACCATCAGCCAAGTTTTAAATGTGAAACGATGGCTACAGTAAGAGTTTAATTATTTGCATAACAGACAAGAACCAGCTGTTTCTCCTCAAAGTACTCCACAGTTCGAAGGCAGATAATGCCGATCCCACCCGGCACAAAGAGGAAAGCGAGTCCAAACACCTGACGCATTATTCACAACTTTCCAAAATAATCTCACATTGGCTGGTTTCAATCAACAAAAGACTTTGATAAAAGTTCTGCTCCTCGACCACAGTTTGGGCTCGTCACCAGCATACGAGCACTTTATGTTTGTGTGCGTCTTCCAAGACCAAGAGACCAACAGGCTGCACTTCAAACCGACCGCACAGCTTTTGTTTCCCTGTGCGACGGAGGATTTCCAATGGCTCTCCGGAGGCCCCTCCAGAGACGCGCAGGTGCTGCTTTACGACCCCGCGGGGCCGGTAACCTCGAGGCGAGCGGGGAGAAGCTCCGGGCAGAACTCCGGGCGCCCCACAGGCCCCGCTCCGGGCCGG